TATTCTATTCTATTCTATTCTATTCTATTCTATTCTATTCTATTCTATTCTATTCTATTCTATTCAGTAATACTTTTATAATCCCAAAGGGGAATTAATTGTTAATGTAACTCATATTATCCTTGTTTTTGAGTTATTACAGATACTGATGGTTGTGGGCAGGAAGAATCTTCTGTAGTGGTTAATTTACAGAGGATCTGAAGAAGTCTTGACTGAAGACACTCTGTTTTATTATGGCAGTCTGATGAAGAGGATGCTCAGTATTGTCCATGGTTTCAAGTCTTGGTGGAGCACTTTTTTTTTCTGATAGAGCACTGAAATGTGCAGGGCTGCAAAGCTAACTTTATAAGATGCTCTGCTTAAATAAGTTGAATTTAACATGCAGATTGAATAAGTTTCCACTAACCTGAGCCTTGCTAAGGTCTTTGTCAAACTGGTCCTCGTGAGTTTTGGTGAAATGAATGTGTGAATTGATGTGAAACTGACTGGAAATTAGTTCCAAAGCAGCTTTCTAAGTTCTGGATGGCTGAGGACTCTTCTCTTAGTAAAGGTTGGTTTATCTCATTTGAGGAGGGTTTCAAACCCTGAAGGTTCCAGTTTGAAATGAGAAAGCCTTTCAGCTGACAAACAAAACACCGTCAACAATGATAAAATACGTCCACTTTTTCAAAAAAATTAAATAAAATAAAAACCTTAACTCAATTTTTTAACATTTTTTTCTGCTCTCGGAGGAGTAAGCCACTTTTTCCTTCTCTCCTGCCTTCTCTTATCTTCCCTGCTTTGCTGCTCGGAGCCTCCTCTACGTTTTCATCCGAAACCCAAAATTATGGATTTATTTTTATGGATTTGGTTAGCTGGTCTCTTAATTAATTTTTTGGAACAATTTTTTTTCCATGGGAGAACATGTCAAAGGTGGGACCTCTGTTCTGCTCTGTTCAACTGGCATATGCCAGTTGATGCCAGAACAGTTGATATTATATTGGATTCTGATCACTGGATTCTACAGATTGGCTTGGTGGTTTCCTGGTGTTCTGCGAAACAGTGTCGGTAGCTATTCAGGTCACTTCCCGGCTGTCTGACCAATATGAAGGATTGCCGTGCTTTCAGCATTCACAGTCTAGCCTGTACGAGCTGGGACTCGGTCTGCAAGCGGTTCTGCTGAGGGTCGCGACTCGTGAGCCAGCTGTGGTTGTCCATACTATTTGTCTGACTGGAGTCGCCACAGAGATGTGCCAGCGGACATTAAGGCAGATGGAAAATTCTTGGAAAATTCTTATTGTCTGCCTGACTGAAAACATTTTCTTCTGTTCTCAAACAACTGATCACAAATTGCCTCTCCCCCACATTGCCTTGAGGAGCTGTGGATCTAATTTCTCCTGGTGTTTACGTCAACTTGGCTTGGTGTTCTATTAGCAATACAGTAGGTGGAGGACATTAAACAATTAAAAACAATCATTTGCTCAGATTCAAGTTCCACATTAAGTTTGAAACACAATCATTCAGACAGCAGACCAGACATTTTATTAGAAATATTACATATTTTATACAGAACTCAAAACATGGGTTTATCTATGGTTTTTGTATGGATACCAGCACATATTGGAGTGGAGGGAAACAAGATGGCAGAAACACTGGCAAAGAAGGCAACTCAAAATCCCATTAATTTCATGGTATGTACAAGTCAATCAGAAGCAAAGAGTATCGTTAAACAAAATATCAAGGAAGAATGGCAGAAAATGTGGGATGAAGAAAGAAGGGGAGGATGGTTTCATAGAATCAAAAAGACGGTAAGAAATGAAAAGGGGGAGAAGAAGCAGGCAAGAGGAAAGATTAATAACAAGATTCAGATTTGGACATACAGGACTCAGTCATTCTCTATTTAAAATAAAATAAAGCATGATACAGGGAAATGTGACCACTGTGGAAAGGATGAAACATGTGGTATTTGAATGTTATAAATATAAAGAAGAGAGAAAATACTGCATATGAGGAAAGAATTTGAAAGGAATAAAGAAAAATTATATAATAGACACTTTACAAAAGCATTTAGGGAGCAAATCAATACAAATTATAATAAGATAAAAACAACAAAATTGATTAATAAAGTTTGAATATACACTTATATAAACAACAACAATTTAGAAATATTTAACATCTGAATTACACTCCATACCAG